TTATAAGCACAGTGTCTGCGTTTTTTTGGCTCTCAGGTCAAAAAGACACCAAGGAAGACCCTCATTAGTTGAAAATTTGATGAGGTTGGGTAAGGAGGGGGGCACTGGGGCCTCTGGGAAACCTCAAAACCGGAGGAAAAAACCTCCAAAACCGGAAAACCGACGGAAAAAGCAGCAAAACCGAAAACCCATGCAAACCTGACAAAAGCGCTACATTTTCACCGTTAAGAGGGGTCAAAAAGGAAAAACCGACAACCGCCTCAGAGTTTTCGTGAAAACCGAATGCAAAAACACGTAAAATCCGTTAACCGCTCTGAACATCAAAACCGAACAACCGAACCTTTTTGGCCCAAAAACCTAAAACACGATCCCAAAAACAGTGAAAACCGCAAAACCGAAAATCTCAAAGCCCCCCTCCTTAAGCTAATATCTTACCCTTTGCTAACAAATCGAAATCAGAGCAACCATTTTACATCATGATTGCTTCAAATTGGGCGGCGTAGTGAGCGTATAACAAAGCAAAAAAAAAGAAACAGGTTGAAATGAGATGCTATTATTCAGAGAAACAAAATTTAATTGCCTCAACACAGGAAACCGGGAAAAAAATAGTGACAGTTGAAACAATGTTTCAATACTGGCAAGTTAAATATTTTTAAATAGAACATCATAAGCATTAAATTCCAAAAATGATCCTTAAAACGTGATAAGATATCCCTTGTTTTTACGAAATTGTCATAAATGACCGGTATTGTACAATCGAGATTCTCATTCTTACTTTCGTCGTTTTGAAATATGCCTCCGTAATTCTGAACAGTGCAAGCAGAATACAACTACAATACAACTTATTTCACTTTATGGCGCTTCCAGGAGGCTTCAGACAATTTCAAACACTTTCAAACTCTTTCAGACACTCAGTGTTGCAACCCGCACCGATAGATCAATCCGATAGTTGTTGGCTTGCGAGAGTGCAATGACTCCTTTCAGTGTAATACGACTCGTAACGAAGATTCAAGATGTTAAATGTTGTCTACATCTACATAAATTTTAAGTCCTACAATGGAGATACCCACTGCAAGACGTTAAGTAAAATATAATTGAAATAAAAAAATTTTCGTTGATAGCTAGTTCCATGTGTATAGTAAACGGTTTTGAGAGTTCAAAATGAATGAAACAAATTTTTTGGTCGATTTTTTGCGCCCGAAACACGCTAAATTTACGTGTAAAATTGTTCCCGGAGACTGGGGCGAGAATTGGACTCGTGACGTCAGGTTATTTGATCCCTTGATTGGAAAGGTCAACAACTTTCAGTGTTTTCCTTGTAACACGCTGTGATTACTCGCTCAATTCTATTGTTTCACGCTTCAAAATGTCCAGCGATTCCGAGAGTATTGAGTCGTCTGACTCTATAGAAAGTATGGATTGTGGAATAAGCGATAGTTCTGAAGAGGAATGGGCAGTTATCACTGGTGTGATAGCTCCATATCAAGATAAGCCGCTCGCGGACGAGAACGACGAAGAAACTGGCGTTTCGAGCGAAGAAAGCGATGTTGATGGACTTACCCGTCAACTCTGGATGCTAGATACGAGAGAACTGTAGACGTAGATTCCTGGTTAGTAAAACTGGTCCTTTAAAATTCCTTGTATATATACTTATAGCAAACCTTTGTTAGACAACAATTCATTTTTGCTGTCTTCTTCAGGTGTAGCTGCGAGTAATGTAATACCGGGACGTTAGTTGGTTTGCTGGAGTTTCGATGTTGCAGAGAGGTAACAAATTCATCTGCAAAGATGGTTTTTGATGGTTCCATTGAATATTCCGAAATATGAACATTTTACACTTACGATTGATAAAACTGACTCACTCTCTCCATGTCCGTTGTGGTTTTTGGCGATTTCTGCCATTTAGGGCTTGCTTTACGATCACTGTTGTACCAAGGCTGAACACTAAGATTTCAGATTTCGGCAAGAGTACCTTATAACCTCATACATTAATCAGTGTGCATTCAGTCTTTGTTCAATTAAAACAATAGCGATAACAATAGAACTCCGCAGAGACTAGTAGTCTTCGTTTTCAAAATTTGGATTTTTTTTCTAAGTCTTTTTTGAAACAGGGTAAATTTGGCGCGTTTTGGCTTTGCAAAACGGAAAACTCAAGTAATTTTCCAGAGGTTTTTAATTTTGAAATATAACTGAA